AGGCATTGGAACAGCATCTGATATACAAGTAATTGAGGCATACAGAATTCCAAACAGGAGCTCCAATGGAGCAATGGGTTAGTGCGTGGTAATTACCCAGAATTCCAAACAGCCATAATCAAAATAAATCTACACTCAGACATATAAGATCCCATAAATTGAGTGCCAAAACAGAATATTAAAGGCTATTAGAGAAAAGAAACAGATCACCCATCAAGGAAAGCTCATTAGAATTACAGCCGACTTTTAGACGCAAACTCTCAAATCAAGAACTTGGAGTGAAGTATTTCAAGTGCTGAAAGTAAACAACTTCTAACCCAGACTGATGTACCATGAAAAATCACTGTTCAAAATTAATGGAGAAATAAGAAACTTCTATGACAAAGAACAACTAAAGAAATTCATGTCCATCAAACCAAAACCTACATTAAGAATAAAAACCTGTATAGTAGCAGCAGCCTATTTTAGAGCATATTGACAAAAACCTGACTGAAAGGAGGTGATGATGATATATGCAGACTACACAGAAAATGGCTTTTACTCCTAGTGTTTTTCTTTTCAAGTACATTTCAGTGTTTGCTGAGCATGGCAGATTCTACACCAGAAGTGCTAGATGTTCTTATTCTTACAATGGATGCAGCAAGAAATTATGAGAGAATATTATGCACCTGGTACTGTTCCCAGTCACTTCAGAAGTCAGCATGGGCCCCAGAGTGACCCTGAATCTTTGCTGACCAACCAGTTAGGGGTGCAGGCAGCCTGTGAAGACATCACTGCCAGCTTCTTGTGAAGAGCTCTTTGAGGGTTGGCTTTTTGTCAGCTAACTTTCTTCCAGGGTCCACAAAGCCAAACTGCAGGTGGACAAGGTAAATGTCACACCACCAAACTTGTGAAAAATGCTTTGCTTATAACATTTTATTTACAGTGATAATATTTATATTTCTCATTTAATAAGCAGCCTTATTCCAGTAAAGTATAGTGCTTAAAAGAGATTTCTTTATATAAAAAATGCAAAATTTTATGTTACACCATTATGTTTTACATAATTGTAGTATCAGATATCACACTCAGCACATGATTCAGTGGACTCTGTACAGATGCAGACCTCTATCTGTCAATGAATAATTAAAAAGATCATTTAACACATACACACATGAGTTGAAAAACATTGGACTCCCCTCCCAATACAAAGACCACATCCAAAAATGGCATCTGAGATGAATATGTACTTCTGAGATGAAGAAATACAAATGATAGATAAATATATGAAAAAATGTTGAACATCACTGGTCATTCAGGAAATGCAAATTTAAACAACACTGAAATTCCATCACACTCTAGAAAGAATGGCTATCATCAAGAAATCAATCAAAAACAAATACTAGCAAGACTGTGGAGAAAAAGGAACCCTCCTCCACTGTTGGTGGGAGTGTGGACTCACTTACTTTGACCTATCTGTCTTTTGTCACTCATTTATTTGTCTGTATACCAACCTGAATTACAGGTCATCACATGATATTTTAACTTGGAAAAAATGGCATTTGTTTTTCTTAATGTTTGGAACACTTACTGATTGAATGCTATGCTACATCAGGTATTGTGCCTGAGTGCATTGACTTGAGATGGGGATGCAACCCATTATCAGTTTATGGAGCTAAGATTAGTAGAAAAATATATAATTGAAACTAACATACTGACATTTGGCACAAATCATGTCCTCCATGGTTTTTTTAGGCATAAGATTCCTCTAGAAACTCTAAAGATAATAGAGTGGAGGAAGTAAAACTGGATCTGCAAAGTCCGATTTAGAGAGTTCCCGTTATCCTCACATTGTTCGCTCTCATCAATCCACATTACTGCAACCCAAACATGAGGGCAAATGTGGCCCTGATCTATTATTAGTCAGTAGTTTCACTGCTGCCTTTCAACACATTCTCTATCCATTTTCTGGATCTCAGTTTTACTTAAAATATTAAGTTATAGTTATTTATTTCTTATCTCCTTTTTCACAATACATTGTAAACTCTGTATAACACAGGTCAAAATACACGCAAAACAACATCTACATTGTAAATAAAATATGCATAAATAGTATTGTCTATCACACAGTATTTTATGGTTGCAAATTCTCCTGGAACATACTGTAATTGATAGACTTAGATTTTGTCAGAGAAGATGTGCTCATTAGGGTGGCTCTCAGTTACAGGATCAGTTTTTATCTGCTCTGTACACTGTTCTGCACTTCTTGTTCTGACTCAGCCCTTGTTCTCTTCCCTGCTCTGACTTGAAGTTCCAGTGTAGTTTGTTCTCGAGATACCTGACTCTGAATAATTTTTTCTAAGTTTTATATAACAGTGCTTAAAACCATTATTATATAATACATTTGCATTTTCATAGGATGTCATTGTGATATGGTAAAATTTGACATACCATATATGTAAAAGACCAATTGTACACTATTCTTGCTGAATCTAATGATCTGCTTGCCTATGCTATACACTAAAAAATTATATATTATGTGCAAATGTCTGGAAAAACACATTATGTATGTTTATTTATTAATTTTTTACATAAAAGCACCAATATAAAAATATATTATAGAAAGTTCAAGGAAGCTATTTATCTGACAGGTATATGCATTTGGCTAAGAGTCATGATACTGGTGTGTGCTTCTGCATCACCTAAGCTGTGCATACTCACTGTACTCCTATAACTTAAAATAGCCATGCTTATTTAAATCTAATTTTGCACCATGAATGTATTCGTAGACTGAATTATTTATGCTGCAACTCATAAACAACATTTCAATATATTATACAGTAAAATTTAGAGGGGAAAATATGAATGAAATATCATTTCATTAGCAGCATGTGTGTAAGAGATTCAAGGTAAAAATAGGAGCCTCCTCATATTCAACCTCACTGTATTTTCCCAAGAAACTAGTAGAAAATGAGTGAATTGTCAGACTATTTTTATTTTTGAAAATAAATGCCTGCATTTCTGTGTGTATAATAGCATAAATCTATTTATTGGACTCTGATTGTTCTTTGCACTATAAAACCTATAGATTTCAAAATGTTTAGATGAAGATACAGTGAATATAATGTCTTGCTCTAAGTATATATAACTATAAACATACAGCTTCTTTCACAGAATAGGAATATTGATAATTTTTTTGTATATTACACATACAGTGGCTTATAAATAACTATAACTTAATATTAAATTTGAATATATCCTGTTTATCAAAAGGTATCTTTTGCTATAGTATTTTTCACTAATTATACCACTTAGGAACATTAGTACCTGCAAAGGATGTGGTTTCCTAAAATTATCATGCATCAGTGGTACTCAGCAACAATCTTTTTTTTCTCCCATTTGCATTTTTGGAAACAGTCGTGCCATTCTCATGAAATTTTCTGTGGCCATGTGTCAGTCAGTTTTCCTATCACTGGGACACAGTGCTCAACACCCACAGTTTAAAGAAGAGGCTGAATTAGGTGGATCTTTGGTGACTCAGTTCATGACTGAGTTGTTCTAAGGCAGAAACATGATGAAAGGGCATGGAAAAACATACATGCCTATTTCACCGTGGCTGGAAAACAGCGCCAGTGAGGAAGGGGGAGGGGTCATCTATAATAATCTAAGTCACGCCTTCATGTCCTATCCAATGTGCTCTAGCAATCCCCTGGAGCAAGTCTAAAGCTCATTAAGTTGACACTTCTCTCTAAATATCACAGGGTACAATGAATGCTTTGTTTTTGAAGTGTGAACAAAAGAGAATGTCATTATTTGCCAGTGGAATCTTTATGATTCAGTGAAAACTTTCCTACTATCTGCATTGTTCTTTTTGAAAAAAAGCAGTGCTTAATATTGTAGCTTATATGAAGTGCCAAAGGGTTAATATCATAGATATGTGCAATGAATAAGGAAAAAAATATTGTGATATTATAATAGAGTTTCAAAGATCTTATAGTATAAATCTTATCCTATCCCAAATGACTTGAATATTCTTTATTCTGTATTCTATTTCTTCCTAGGTCACCATGTGTCCATATGCATTGCCAAGATTATTAAAGATGCTTAGATTCATTTGTGCGTGTGTGTATGATTTTTTGAAACAGGGTCTTGATATGCAGTTCAACCTTGCCTTGAGCTCACTTTGCAGCCCAGGCTGGTCTTGAACTTGCAATGATTCCAAGGGCTGGATTACATGTGTGAGCCACCAAGCCTGAGTAAGATTCTTAGATTCTTAATGCACACAATATAATTACACAGGCTTTAAAAACTATAACACAGCCACTAAACTATTTTGAAATAAGCCTGAAATCAAGGTAACATCATGCTCTAATCTCCATGGTCCTGGTCTTTTTTAGAAGCCTGAAGAAATTATCTGTTTCCTTCATTTATTAGAAGTCTGCAAGTAAACTCTTATAGCTCTACTATAAATTCAATAAAGTTTTCTACATTTAACAATATTCCATAAAAACAGTGAAATCAATAATTCAACTTTGAGAGTTTGAACTTTAGTAAATCAAACAAGACAGAATAAATAGAACAATAAAATATGTACCATTTTAAAAAGTGAACAAATTTTCAAGTTTAGTGAGTTATTTCCCACTTTGTTTAATCAATTATTTACAAATGCAGCAAGGAAAAAAATTAAGTTTATTTAATGGTCTTTGAAAAAGATCACAGAACTCAGAAAGAAGGACGGAGGGAAGGAAGGAAGGAAGCAAGGAAGGATGCAAGGAAGAAAACAAGGAAATGAGGCAGGGAAAAAATCTTGAAAATGAAAAAGTGTTTGCAGGCGCATGCGCACATGTGTACGTGTGTAGGGTGTATGTGTGTAACAGACAGATACAAATAGCGACATCAAAAAGTATTTCTAGGAGTTGCATGCACTTTTCTTAAACCATGCAGTGCTTACATTACTTGAATTGGAAATCAGTGTCACGGGCACTGTTTTCTCTGCACTCTACAGTGACCTTGAGCCTTACCTTTCTACATAATCTAGGAGCCTGGAACAGTGATTTGAAGCAGGAGCATCGTGACCGCCTACGGCATAAAGGAACCCGTCACAAGTAGCCACTCCAACACCTCCTCTCCTCTTACACATTGGAGCACACATGTTCCACTTATTTGTATGAGGATCGTAGTACTCCATTGAACTCAAACAGGAACTTCCATCACGACCTCCAACTGAATACAATCTAAAAACAATTGGAAAAAATGACATACTCTCATACTCTGGATGACAAAAAAAAAAAAAAAAAAAAAAAAAAAAAAAGAAAAAAAAATAGAAAAAACTCACTGAAAAGCAAATTTCACAATGTAAATCTCAAATATATGAAAATTATAATTGCTTCACATGGAAATTTAGTTACAGACATTCTAAAAATCATTACACATATCTGTATTTTCAATTACTCTAATATACAGGATACTAGAGGAATTTAAAAACAGCATAATTTTCTAACCTCTACTGATTCTACAAAATTAATTTTAATTTGTTGATTACAGAAAACCTGATATGTTTATGTGTTAATATTAATAAATATTGAGGAGTTGCTAGTAAAATATGGAATAAGATGTAAGAAACTGATCATACTCAGAAAGAAATTTTACTTGCTGATCAGTTTTTGATTTGAAATTGTATGCCAGGTATGTTCCTTAAGTTCCATCTTTATGACAGTAGATAAGAAAAATAATCTAAATGAGTACTGGGCTAACAACGATCTTTAATACCTATAGTATAGCTTTTACAAGACATAAAAAGATTGTAATGGTAATTAACTATTGCCAAAATATAATATCTTCATTTTTCTTTAGTTATTTTATTAATAAGAAGTATGATAGGAACTCAGGAAAATCAACACTTTGCCAAAGTGGTATTCCCATAATTAGAAATACATTATCTAGTCTTAATAAAATAGTTGAAAAAACTATTTTTCATAACAGTGAAAATTTCATCACTGTAGAGAGCTGTTTGACTGTTTCGAAAACATGTACCACACACTATCCAAAATTTAGTAATTTTTCTATGGACAAAACAGGAAAAAATCCATGAACTCAATTCTATTGATACAGGGGTACATATAAACACATATATTATAAACTACTGTGGAAGTATTAAGTAGTACAGAATTTAGAAACAAGCTCAGAATGCATCTGGTAAGAAGAGGGATTGTGGTTAAAATTTTAAATAAATAGCTAGGAAAGATATCACTGAAAAAGTGATGTTTGCACAAAAACTTGCAGATAGGCATAACACTGGAGAGAAGTTCAGGAATATCTATTCCTGGAGAGGAAAACATTTCAGGCTAGCAAGTTGTGCGACCAGGAAAAAAGCCATACAGCTTGAATGAAATTCAGATTGGTTTTGCATATGGGGCCGAAGTCAGCATTTCAGGGTGGGTAGCAGCTGACATTGGTTTATGTTGCCCTCCTCCTATAAATAAGATGTAATATGCCTTTTTAAATGAGAATTGATGTGGAAATTTTCCTTTACTATGAATATTATTTTCCAGATATTGATAAATAGAATTAATTCAATATTTTCAGTTTCAGAACTGCACAGGAAATGCAAAAATGCCTAGGAAAAGTATTAACACGTAAAAATATTCAGGGCTTGTTATAAATTCTTGATCTAATATTTTGAATAATTCTAGAGTATGGTATCTAAACTGATTTCCAATCCTCAGGGCTTTTAAAAAAGCTTTTATAAATGTCTCTGACTCACTAAATATCCCTTTATGAATGGCATGACTCTTTCCTTGGCTACTATAATGTCTGCTGATACTCAGTATTTTAATATTTGGAAATTAGCTAATAGGAGCATTTTAAAGGATAAGTATTGGACTATTATTTTGGAAAATCACCCTAAGTAGAATAATTATTCACTTAAAAGTTTTTACCATCCCCAAAACTACATGAAATCTGAATCTTATTTATTCATTTCATTTAAAGATATATTTAAGCAGACTATGCTATAATATTGAAATATTATTAGAAGAGAATTACATATATTTTGCACAGACACTACTTCAATTCTTCATATGAATGCAGTTCTTGGTAATCAATTTATATATAAATACTATATTATTTTTTGCTATGGTTTTAAAGAAAATGTTAACTTTAAGATGTTCTATTTATTCATGTATATTAAACTGGTAAGTCATATTATTTAATTATCTGAACTCAGCATTGCTGACAGCAGATAATAAAACAGATCTCAGCAATAATTTATCATATTTTTCTGTACTTATTTTAAAAATGATTACACCTATACCTATCTATATTAATACTGATATATATATATATATATATATATATATATATATATATATGGAAATACACATACCAAAATTGTGTGAAAACTGAATGTACTCTATGACCTACTTACTGAACCATGAAGAAATGGAACATCTGAATAGATCTAGAATCAAGCTGTGATGTAAACATGTTCAGATTTAGGTCACTTTTTGGAACAGTATTGAAAACCTCCAGATGAAGAGGAACTCAGGATTAGGTGGCTTCAGAGATAAGTTCTTATAAATACTTAAAGAGGAATTAATGTCAATCCTGCCAAACTCTTGCAAAAATTAAAAAGGTAGAAATAGTGTCAAAAATATTTTTGTGAAACCAACATTAGTCAAATATCAAAGCCATAGGCACCAGAGGAAAACTGATGACTAATCTTTCTGAGGAATATAAATACAATAATCCTCAATATACTAGTAGCAAACTGATTTCAACAGCACATTTAAAAGCTTATTCACCATTACCATACGGGACAGTTTCACACAAAAATGAAATTATGTTATAAATATAACACTGTAATACACTAAATAAGACTGCATAATTGGCTCAGTAGCAAAAACACGCATTTCACAAAATTCAGTACACTTTCATAATAAAAATCATAGAAATTAAATAGCAACTAAAATATTATTTATGTAATCAAGTTTGTCTACTGAAAAATACTCAATACCTAAGAAAAATTAGTTAATAAATACATTTTTATAACTGAGGACATAAAGAAGCATCTGTAATAGTTCTCTAAATGTGCTTATTTATAGAAATTAAAATTTTGTTAGAAATTTAATATTGAGCCTAGTAGCATATTTAGATAATACCATATATAATAACATATGTTTTAGGTAGAAATGAAATGTTTCTGCAAAGTTCACAGATAATTAAATCATTGAATTTTTAATATAATTACACATACTATAAATTTTCCTCTAATAAAATCCAGTAATGCAGTGTTTATTCACATAAGAAACTCATGCAATGCTTCAGTGAACATGAGATAGCATGTGATGTTTATTTTTATAAACTAAAGCTCAGTGTGTACTTGATAACAATTTAGTTATTAAGGCCTAGATGATGTTATCAATGGATTCTTTCATGTAGTATATGATATGTCCCTTTCATGTATTTGTTAGGATTATATGTCACACAAATTAATAGTTTAATGGTTATAATTTTAGTATATAGCATAAAATATTAACATTTCTATGGAAGAGCTAAGTGGGAGAAAAACTGTACTGGATTTTTCCTAAAGAAAAATAAATTAAAAGAAATTAGAAAATGGATATTTTTGTAAAAGGATAAAAGGGTTCTTAAGGACCATTTCATGGATCCATTATTAAAACCATTAGATGTATGCACGTACATGAAAATTTTAACATATGTACCTGACAAATCAACCAACATTATCTAAAATCTACTTATTTGTGAATAAATTAAATGACTAAAAATTAAGAAATTTAAAATAAGTAAATAATAACTATTTTATAGTTATCCCTAAAATTGCTTATAACCTAGAAATAAAAACAACATATTTTATGCCATATGCTACAATATACACATAAACATTCATGAACAGTGATCAAAATCTAACATCACAAATCTCTCTTCATAATTTACTCTTAGGCAGATTTCTTGTTTTTTCATTAAGCTGACAAATCAGATGCTGAAACACTAAAAAGCAGAAAAGAATCTTGTGCTAGGAGTAAACTAGCTGACTAAACAGGAAGCAACAGTTTTCCATTTCAAGACAAAAACATAAAATGCATACTTTTGAAAGTTAGAGTTGAAAGATGAGCAAAAATTTGAAAGATAAAGAAATAGAAGCCAAAAAATTTTTTTTGGGAAGATCAATCAACATCAAAGTAAAAAGCCTCTCTGAGAGAAACAGCTCAGATGCTGGAATACAGATAGCATCCTGGAGAAGACCAGACAGAAGGAGAAAGATCCTCCCGACCTATAAAGAAACTACAGTGGGAAAAAAAAAAAAAAAAGAAAAAGAAAAATATAGACAGAAGGCTGTAGCCAGACACACATTTAGTATTTTTTAAAATTATTTTTTTAAAAATTATTTTTAAGAGATTTTCCTTCCATGATTGCAAGTTGTAAACCTGTCTTCAAGGTTTGATAATTTATCTGTAGTTACTTTCAAGCAGTTTTGCCAATTTTCAGTGGAAGCAATCAATCCTTAGCCAGCACACTTCAGACAAAATATAATCAATATAGGAAGGTCTGGGGACCCCCACTATCCACTTGTCTGGGAGAAACCAGAATCATGATAAGAGGAAGAAACAAAAGGAAGTCTCCAACCCAAGCAGTACTGGCCCAGGAGAGGTAAGCATAGAAGAGATTGGGGGTTTCACACCCGTAATTTCTGAAGAAACATCATCTGATGTAAAGCAATAGCATCCTGAAATTATAAAAGGACTTAAAACAGAAACACTAATACAGGTAAGATATAAGAAAAATAATTTTTAAAAATGCTAAGTGCTTCTCAAGAAGACAAGATAAAAGAATGGAAGAGCATAGAAAAAGGTAGGGAAATCTTTGATTAAGAATTTAAAAAAACTAGAATACATGAACCAGATTCAAAGATATTACCAGGAAATTAAGAACTCCACTGAAAATTGGCAAAACTGCTTGAAAGTAACTACAGATAGATTATCAAACCTTGAAGACAGGTTTACAACTTGCAATCATGAAAGGAAAATCTCTTAAAAATAACAAGGAACAAGAAGTAACAATACAAAGGGTAGAAGATGACAGGAGGGTCTATAAGTTAAGAATAAAAAAATGTGAGTAAAGAAGCAGGGGTAAATGCAAATGAAATACAAAGGCTATTTATAGAAATAATTAAAGAAAACTTCCCAAGCACAGGAAAAGGAAATGATATTCAGAT